TTGGTCGGGTTTTGTACTAAAACACTTTTAACTGTTTCCCCATTCATGTTAACCAATAATTTATTTTAGCTATTTTGTCATTCCCTGCTGCTTTAATGTTATCTATGTGGCGCAATACGTCCTCGCATTTGGTCGGGTTTTGTACTAAAACACTTTTAACTGTTTCCCCATTCATGTTAACCAATAATTTATTACGACACAATAAATCCTTTAGCCCTTCAAAAGTTTTTTTCTGTTTTCGAGCTATCCACCCAATTATCTAAGCTCCGTACTAAGTTAGAATGAAACTCCCTAAAGTTATCATTCAGAGGTGTCAGCTCGTTCCATTTCCCCCTGTACTTTTCCTCATTGTATCCTCCATGTTTCAGAAGTAACAGTTTTACTGTCTCGTAATCGTCTAACCTTTTCCTTATGTCCTCAGTCATTAGAAATGACTGTAGATCCCCCGTCAACCTCACCTGTAATTCCGTGATCCATTCCTGTTTTGGTACCCCGTTTTGTCTTGCAATGTGTTCAAAGTTTACAATGTATTCGTCCAGTTCCTTGTCGCTGTCGTATTTAGGGAGGCATTTGAGTAAGTGATAGTTTTTGCTGGGTCTTTTTTCGTCACTATTATAATGTTGTGCTGCTCCATTTTTTATTTTGGCCAATTCAATTTCTTTATCTAATTTCTTAAGTTCCTGTTCCCTCTCTTCTACTCTGATCTTTTCTTCTCGCTCTTCCCTTCTTATATTTTCTTCTCGCTCTTCCCTTCTACTTTTTTCTTCTCGCTCTTCTTCTTCCCTTCTTCTCTCCCCTTCTTGTATTTTCCCCCATTGGTCCCTTACATATGTATCTAACTCCTGTCCCGTAAATCTGAGGTCCTTTTCTCCCACCTCCCGAATTTCGGCTATTATTTCCGATATGGTTCTCTTAGCTTTGCTTCTTGTTTCCATTTATAATTATTTACCCCTCCAAATTTATATGTTCAAATACTGTACAGCTTTCTCAATATAAGATAAATATTATAATCTTAAATAACTATAATAATAATACTTATGTACTTAACATGTTACTTAACTGTGCTTGACTTGGCCTGTATCGAAAACACACAATATAAGAATGTCACAGTTTTAGGTAATAGTGTCTAATTGGGCCTACTTTGTTGACCCGGTGGCATGCACTGGTAGTAGATGCATAGGCGCTCCGGTTGTAGGTGCATAGGCGCTCCGGTTGTAGGTGCATAGGCGCTCCGGTTGTAGGTGCATAGGCGCTCCGGTTGTAGGTGCATAGGCGCTCCGGTTGTAGGTGCATAGGCGCT